CCCCGCCCAGCAACTCATCCCTGGGCCCCGCCCAGCATCTGGTCCCAGAGCCCTTCCTGCCCCACCCAGCGCGCCCCTCCCCACCCAATGGCCCCGCACAGCATCTCATCCTCCGCGCCCCTCCTCTCTTCCACAGGCCCTCGGGCGCCCCCTGCCGACCTCCGGTGCCGGGTCCGGGCCTCCCTCACAGCCTGTGTTCAGCCAACTAGGGGACAACTGCCCGCCCAACTCGCTTAAGGGCTGGGGAAGTTCCTGACTTCTTTTCCCTCTTGCTTCTTAAAGCTCCTCTCTTTCTTCTTGTTCCTTAAAATCCCCAGCCACATCCCTTTGTGCTTATTGTCGAATTATGTAACAGGTGCCTGGAAACCCCAACACTGATGGCTTAGAACAGTGGCTAAGGTCTGTAAATACCCAAAGGGTTCAACCACCAGATTGGGGGAGGGACGCATCTTGAAGACAGGGAGGAGTCCTATTGTCTGATGTCTAGGTAGCACTGTGTTCATAGCCTGGGTGTTAGCGATGGAACTGTAGCCCCTATCCAAAGATCCGTTCAAGTGCTGACTTGCAAGTACCCCTGTGGGTGGGATCTTAATAGTTTTGGCGAATGTCATTAAGATGAGATCACTGGCTGAGCCTCCCTGCCGCTGCTCCACTGGTCCCTTAAACAAAGAAATCTGTGTGTGAAGATAAACACACAGAACATATGTGACAGACGCCGAGATCTGAGTGATGTAGTGCCAATCCAGGAATGCCCAGTCTTGTCCACCACCTCCAGAAGCTAAGACAACACAGGATTTTCTCCGACAGGTTTCAGAGGGAATTTGGTCCTACTGACATCTTGCTTTTTGACTTAAGTCACCAAGTCATTTGGAGAGACATTCTCTAGGGAACTTAGGGGGTGACTGCTGGGAAGGGGACAGGGAAGGGACCAGCTCCACTTGCAGGAGTACTGGCATCTCCTACTAGCCCTGTTTCCCAAGGTTACTGCTGTTTACTGTTGGATGCACTTGCTTGCACCCAACACACTCTCAATAGGATGATAAGGAGTGAGTGTACTTAGGCCTTGCACAGTACCAGGCAGTGGAGAGAGATGTAAGGGAGAATATCATGGTTGTACATGCTGTGTACTTAGGAAGAGACATTTATAAACATGAAAGACATGAATCTTATGTGAAGATCTGCAGGCTCCAGAAGCATGTCTGTGCTGCACCTCCAGTCCCAAGGCCTCTTCTGACACTTGCTTTTACCCTGGGATTTTGAAATTTGAGGCTTTCTAGGAACCAGAGCACTGAAGACCATTTTAGCTGGAAGGACTGTTCAGTGAAACAACTATTTATTGGGAAGCTATTGAGTGGTGCTGTCTCTTTGCCCATGAGCAGACATGCAATAGGATTATCGGGTACCTCAAGTAGAATGCCAGAGGTTGTCACAAACCACTGAGACCAGCCTGTTAAGGTTGCAGGGAAGGCTTCCTGAAGAAAGGGGAGGCAGGCAGAGGCCGCATTATAAGTATTTCTACACAATATTTAGGAGCAGCCAAGAGAATGAAAATAAAATCATAGGAGAGCTGAAATTATCTAGGATTTTTCTGAATGAAGGGGAGCTGTCCTTAGATTATTCTCTAAAAGCAGAGACACACATGGGCATGCCTACCATCCCAGCACTAGCAGGGTGGAAGCAGAAGGATCACAAGTTCAAGTATAGCCCAAAGCAAGTTAGCCAAAACCTATATCATACTTCATATTGGGTTCAATTCCAGCACCACCACAACAAACAGCAGCAGCAGCAGCAACAACAATAAGAAAAACTCCTCAGACCCGTCATTCAGGAATAGTAGGATGAGCACTCTATGAGAACGGTTCCCTTCACTTTTAAATCCCCCAAATTCAACATAGTGCTGAACTGTATTTGGAAGAAATGACTTCAAGAATATAAAGATTGCCATTTATTCAGTGAAGTTCTGGAGCATTCATACCATAAGACCTGGTAAGATTCAAAGTGGAATAGCAGGGAAAATCTCAGCTTAGGTCATAGCCTCATGCCTCAAGGGGGAAATTCATTCCTACACTCTCATTTACTATATACTAGCCTAGAACTTGATACCTAGTAAATACTCAATAAAACTTGCTAAATTTCATTGATGTTTGTTTTTTGTTTGTTTGTGGTGGTGCTGGGAATGGAGCCAAGGGCCTTGTGTATATTAGGCAAGTACTCTACCACTGAGTTGACCCTCAGCCCTCAAACTCCCTTTTTTCAGTGTTGGCTAACCTGCCCCACACATTCCTTGTAGAGTGTTTGGCACTTCTCTGGCTAGTTTTCTGGTTGTGGGTGGGGAGCCTGTTTCTTCAGCCTCACATTTGTCTGTATAGGGACTTCTGCAAGATAGTGCCTGGGGTCTCCCTCTGTCTTTTCTCAATGCTGTCTGGAGGAGGGAAGGATTTCAGCAGCTTTTCTGTGCTGATGGGAATCAACTGAGTTGACCTGTTGGCTTCCATCCTTCCTATGCCCCTGTTCTCCACAGAACTTGGCTGAGAGTCCTCACTGATGTGGTAGAAGAGGCTCTGGACGCCATTGAAGGCAATCTTGGCTTCAATGTGTGTGCAGTCCATGGGGTACCTCATAAGTGTTACCACCTTGAACTTGGTGCTTTTCCATCATCCAAACTTGGGAAGTAGTGTCCCTTGTGCACCCTGCAATGCCGTCGCATTGTTAATTCCTCAGTGTAAAGATGTCCTCACTGATGCTATCATAGGTGGATGCCCACTGGCTCATCTTCCTCTACAAACAGTAATGTATCCTGAGAATATGCAATTTCACTCTCTCCCCCTTACCACCCAGGGCCAGTGCAAGGCAGTGGTGTGTGTGTATGTGTGTGTGTGTGTGTGTGTGTGTGTGTGTAGATTTTAGCGTGTTACAGCTTAAAGACATATTATAAAGCACTGGAATGGCAGGCATTGTTTATGGTTTAAGCGCTCACTCTAACTGGGTAGCATTTTAATTGGGGTCATTGTGCTGTTTTCTATGTGTTGGTCTCTGAGACAGCTTTGCCTTTTCTAGCAGCTGGAGACTTGTCTTCAAGCCAAGAGAAAAATGTCTACCCCTCACTGAGGCAGATTGGTTTCATTGCCTACCTAAGCCTGCCTGCGTGGCTGACTTCAGGAGTTGAGGGTGAGTGTTCATGTTTCAACATAGCTACCAATCCACCTGTTTCAAACCAGAAATTCCCCTCCGGTTTGTAACCTACCAACTCAGTTCTGTTGTTCATAGAACGTCTAAGACACATATGGGTAAAGTATAAAATGAAAGTTACATATTTGGAAAAGCAACTATATCACCTTTACTACTTGTAAGAATAATCTAGCTGGGCACTGGTGGTTCATGCCTGTAATCCTAGCTGCTCAGGAAGCTGAGATCTGAGGATCACGGTTCAAAGCCAGCCTGGGCAAGAAAATCCAAGAGACTCTTATCTCCAATAAAATACCAGAAAACCAAAGTGGCTCTGTGGCTCAACTGGTAGAGTGCTCGCTTGAGCTGAAGAGCTGAGGGACAGCTCCCAGGCCCAGAGTTCAAGCCCAAACAACCAAGAAAAAAAAAAAAGAGCAATCTGGCTAAAAATGACTGCTAACTACAAGGGGGTTTCAATTTAACACATTCATTTATATGTACAATACATCTCTACCCTGGTCACCTCTATCACTCTCTCCCATCTATACCTTCCCCCATCAGTCTTGTGCATATATACACGTGAAATGTTGTGAGCGAATATTACTCAGTACTAAACAGGAATGAACTATTAAGTTACAGAAATGCATGCAGGAATCATATTATATGGTTCCAACTGCATAGTATCTTTCAAAGATAAGACTTGAGATAGTGAGCTGATCAGTAATGACCAGGGGTTGGGGAAGGAGGAATGAACAAACGGAACTGGGATTTTTAGGGCAGAAACAAGTTCTATGTATTATGGGCACATGTCATTACGCATTTGCCAAAGGCCATAGAGTATATCACAGAGTGACCTCTAATACAAACTATGGGTTTGGGTTGGCAATACGGTGTCGATGTTGGTTCACTAATGGTAGAAAAAGTGTAAATCCACTGTGAGATCTGGATGGTGAGAATGACTGTATGTCAAGGCGAAGGATGTGAGCACCCTGTGCTTTCTGCTCCTTTTTGCTGGGAATCTAAAATGATGCCAAACAATAATATCTGAAGGCACTATGATCACCCCTAAGAATTGCTTATAAAACACTTGTACCTTCCATCTCCAACTGCCTTCTGTTGTGTGTGCAAGTACTCAGTATCTTAGGAGACATTATTTTTCTGCCAAGGGCCATTTGGATATTTATAACGTTATTTCAGATGGAATTGCCAATACAGGAAGGTGGCCAAGTGGAGGAAAAGCATAGCAGAAGTATATGGGTCTGTCGTGTCAGGTACCAGATGATTTGGGGGAAGAGCCTTATATGGCCTGACGTTCCTCACCCCTGCGTTGGGAAGCAAAACCCCATTGGGAGTTGCCCTACACAGAGGTCCTCGTGGCAAGGAACAGAGGTCTCTGGGCAACAACCAATAGGGATCTGAGCCTGCCTGTCCATCACATGAGCAAACTTGGAAGCTGAGCCTCCTCTGTGGAGCCTTGTGAGGTCTCCAGCCCCATCACACTTCAATAGTGGTGTTGGCTGAGGCCATAAGCCAAAGACACTGAGCTCAGCTCTGTGAGCTCTGCTTATCACTGAAGCTGGGAGGTGATGTCCATTGTTTTATCTGCCAAGTGTGGGACAACACAGATGACAATACACCAATCTGCCACTCACTGTGCAAAATGGACAGTCACACCAGTGGTCTCCTTAGTTGACCTTCCCCTCAGTTGTAACCATGACAACCCTCTCCCAGCAACTGATTCTCCT